TATCTATCTATCTATCTATCTATCTATCTATCTATCTATCTATCTATCATCTATCATCTATCTGTCATCGGGTTCTGACAGGAAGTGATGAGAAAGAAGCGGGAATGCCTAACAAAAGGGTGGAGGTGGGGAGGAAAGGATGGCAGGTAGAATTGGAAGGTCTGAGTTTACAATAACAAAGGACCTTATTGATATGTTGTGTGAACCTAAAGGTAGGACATGACAATACACTGAAACAAATGAGTGGGAAAATTTCATCTTCAACATAAAAGGTGTTTAGCAATTACACAAAGGCAGAAAGGCCATTAATCGCATTATTCTAAATCCACGAAATCATCTTAAAAGACTAGAACATAAACAGAATTAGAAAAGTGCTCAACTCCTTGAAAATTTTGAAATACTACCTAAAATAATGTCTGAATTGGGGACAAATTTCTTCACACAATAACAGAAAACATGTTTTGAAAATGAAAAGAAACCTCACAATCACAGGAATTGTTATATCCTGACAGTGCCCAAATTCTATATGGTGAGCAGTGGACAGTTTATAGAGAAGCAAAAACAGGCGTAAAATCCCACGAATGAGTCCACAGATTTCATGGCTTAATGAAATGCAAATTAACATTTATTAGAATTTCATTACAAGCCCATGAAACTTAAAAAAAAAAAACCCTTAAAATGATAAAACCCAAGGTTGGCGGGTCCTCTGTGGGACCAGACTCAGCACTGGGAGGGGGGAAGTGAAAAATGCCACGGAACCCAGGAATGAGAAACGGCCAGGCGGAGGCGCCGGATGCCCTGCGGTGTTTGTAAGCGGCGTGTGAGGCGTTCCCAGCCCCCCCAGAGGAAGGCCCTGTCCCTGGTTAGCTTGTCAGTACCAGGGCTCACGGGGAAAGGGGTCACTGGAATATAACTGGGAGTGTAGCCCCACTCACCGCGGTGTCCCCAATACCATGGCACCTAATGCCCGCCGCCTCGCAGGCCCTCAGTAAGTATTTCTCGGATGAATGAAATGTGCCTCTGAAATTGCCGCGGGAAACTAAAACACAAGCGCTGCTGTTATGTCCTCTTCGGTTAAACCCACATGCAGAGATTTGTTTGTTTGAGAAGCTCAGAAAGGATTTGGCAGTGACATGAGTACCGCATGTTTCCCTGTCCCGTCAAATGCTTGGATTCATAGCTGGCATATTAAAAAGCTATTCACGCATACCCCAACCACCACCCGCAGGTGCCTGCCTGTGTGCAACGTACCCCGCTCTCCTCTGGAGCCCTGTGGGTCTAGGTTTGTGAATCCAGATCAGTCGTCCCCAGCCCTGGCGGCACGTTGGGACCACCCGGAGCTTATGCATTCCCCCCGGGTGCACCCCTAGACAACACGCCACCTCGTCTGAACCAGGCATCGCTGATGCTAACGCTCAGCCAGGCCACTTAGACGGCGAGACCCTTTCACAGACTTCACATTTTCACTTCATAAAATGTGTCCAGTCATATTCCAGAAGGATTCTTTGCGATGTGTTCATGAAATCCTGAGTTCCAGCCTTGTTGAGAAAGCACATCTGAGCAGGTGGTGCCACAGTGCCAGATGCAATCAAATACTTGGGCTCCTGTTCCACTCCGCACCCCCAAATTCAGCTGTCCAGGGTGGGCAGACTGGGTTCGCCTTGATAGCCTGTGACCTTCTAGTGAAAGAGCATTGTTGGAGGTGGACTTACCAGGCTGTGTGCACCTCGAAGGGAAGACAAGTCGAGGGGTGCTGCTAGAAGCTCTCTCAGAAGCCAGAGTGGCACGCCCACCAGGAGGGAGAGGGGTCTGGGTGGGGGGCACGCCCTGATTATTCACCTCAAACCCGTTCTATCCATGTGATAAAAAGGAGCCTGAAGGTAGAGGTGTGGGATCAAGGTTCGTTTTTGAAGACTCAGGGGAATCTGGGAACCCAGATTTTAGGCTGTGCATCTCTTGTTGGTGGGAGAACGTCACTGTGTGAGCTGTGCTTTGGTCCTGGAGTCTGGGGAAGATCCGCTGGAACAGGGGTGGGCAATGGCACCCACTTAAGCGTGTTTGCTGAGCACTGTGCTGTCTCCAAATTATTTCCCAGAGCCTGACTCTCTGCTCCTGGGCTTGCATCTCCGAGATGGGGGTTAGGTCTGCTTGTCTCTCCCCTCCCCACCTCTCCTACTTGTCCAGTGTTTGGCAGGGTTCGTGGGTCTGAGTGGAGGCTTGGCAGGAGCTCCCTGTATACTGAGAACAGCAGGTGTCATGTGTTGCCTCTAAACGTAGCTAGGACTTGGGATTAAAAGACCCCTAGTTGGAGGCAGTGACAGAGCAGTGCTAAAGAATTGTGTGGGTAACTGCATTCTTCCCCTCCTCCAGGCTACCCATTCTCCAGGGAGGGACGTTTAGTTTTCTGGCACCCTCCCTGGCCATGCTCTCCCTTCCTGCCTGGAAGTGTCCCGAGTGGACACTCAATGCCAGCCAGGTGAACACCAGCTCCCCTGAATTCACCGAGGAGTGGCAGAAGAGGATCCGAGAGGTAATGGGACACGAGGGTGGGGTGGGCAGGTCGGTGTGTGGAGTGGAGGGGTCCTCAGTGGGAGCTCCTGTGTTGGTTCATTTGTTCAATTCACCACGAGGCAAGATCCTGGGCATCAAGATCCTGCTGTAGATAAGACAGACAAGGGCCTAAAGTCCTCGTGTGTGAATGCGCAGGACAGGGTGGGAGAGGGAGACAAAAATATTCTACAAAGTCCATAAAAGAGGGGAATTCCAGGGAGTTATAAGTGCAGTGGAGAAAAGCAAGCATGGTGATGAACGAGAGAAAGATTCAGGCTGTCAGGGTGGGAAAGATGAAGAGGGGAATCAGGTTGACTTGGAAACGCTCATGTATTTCAAGCAGCAAGAGCACAAGCATTTTCCACGCCAGTCCCGGGAGGCAGAGAGCGCAGAGGGTAGTGCTCTAGTTTTATATTAAGTCCTCAAGTGTCATTGTTGAGGCCAAGCATTGTGCTAAGTGCTAGGACTGCAAAGAGGAGAGAGACGCATCACAGTGGTGATGACGATGGTGATGATGATGGTGATGATGGTGGTGATGATAGTGGAAGATCATAGTTACTAAGCACTTAGAGTTTTCCAGACATTCTGCTATAAGTTTTTCACGGATGCACAAGCTCCATATTGACTGCGTCCATAGTAGGCTCAGATTAAGGGGAAAACCAACGTGCAGGACCAGGTCCGGCTCAGTACCCTTCTGCTGGTGGGTATTGTCTGCTCAGCCTGCCCACTTTGGACAGTAGTGCCCATGTGCTTCTCTGCTGTGAAACCTGGCCCTTGCTTAATTCAGTTGTATCATCGGGGAAAGGAACTGGTGGCTTTAAGGAAGCTCTGAAGTTTCCCAGACGCATAACCAACAGTGCCCAGTACCAACTGAACAAAGAGGGAAGTTTTCAAACATTAAGCCCGGCCGGGGCTTCTGCAGTCTTTACTTATGAATCGGGAGCGGTTCTCTCTCTCCATCAGTCCCAGGGAAAAGACAGAAGTTTGATCAGGTATCGAGAGCAACCAAGCTGAATTCCCTTTAAGAGTTTGGTAAATTAAAATGCGAAAGCTCCTGTCTAACGTTCAGTGACACCGTGAGCCTTGTGAGAAGCTGGAAGACAACCTCAGTCACGTGCCAGAACATGGAACTCAGCCTGACAGTTTCTTGGATACAATTCCTCTGAAAACTTTTCCGTACGGATTAAATTCTAAAACTAGCCAGGTGATTAGGAGAAGAGGGTTATCTCGCCAGCGGACTTGTCTGCTGTTTCCTCCTTGCTGTGAGATGAATGGCATGACACAGCAGAGGCCAAGGGGTGTACAATCAGTTCTCAAGGTAGTAAGTCGAAAAGGTCAGGGCTCCCGCAGCCTGGCAGCAGCTCTGCAAAGGCCCTGTGGTCACGGCTGAGATAGCAAAGCCCAGCAGAGGCAAAAGCCGGGAGAGCCAAGAGGCCGGCCTTGGCAGCTTCCTACGATGTGTCCCCTCGAGCACAGTAAAACTTGTCCAAGGCCCCAGTGACTGGGACAGTAGGACCGCAGCCGGGACGTGGTCCATCGTGGAAAAAGGATTCAAATATGCAGCTGGCGGGGAGAGAACACTGACAACCCTCTCACCCGTCCAGTGGAGAGACGTGGCCTTGGGACCAGGGTGGCGGCTGGGGGACAGGTGACTGCTGTATTCCACACCGTCCCAGGGCAGGTTGGGCCCAGCGAAATGCCGAGATTTGAGCAGGTCCGACCGCTGGGGTTCAGAGGAAGAGAGCTCGGCCTCCAGATGTTCGCTGCCTTGCTCCCCTCCAACGCCGACACCCCTGGCCCCCAGGGAGCACCGTGCCTGGAAGGACACGGTGGCTCGGTCTGGGCTGTAACTTGTGAATTTCAGCCAGAACCTTCTGCTGTTCTTCCCTTTGAAAACCAGCTTTTCGCACGTGCCTGCGCCAATCACTGGGATGCGACGAGCTTCAACCGTCTCACCAAGTCCCTGTGCTTGCCTCTTATCTCAGGGTGGACCTGGGGTTCATGGGCCTTTTCATCTTTAAAGAACAGTTCCAAGTCCTTTCAGACCAAGATCTTCCTAAGATTTGCACTTGCCAGGCTGGCGGGCCCTGGGTTTTTACCCGGTTCCTTGGCCAATCTCGGAACGGCCTGTGTTGCGTTACCTTTTCCAAATCAAGATGTTCTTCGGTGAAGCCTAGTGTTACTATCTCATCAAGGGAATGAAGCACAGGACACAGGAGGGGTGTGAGGCTCCTGATTGTTTTTGTTGTTGTTTGTTTTTGCTGTTCCCAGGGACCCTATACTTGGCTTTGGTTAATGCGAATTTTCCTCCCCCTGCTCTGCTAGATGCCAAGGGCAGGATTGCCCTTTTCATTCAGAGCTAGTGAGGCCAAGAATTCCTTTTGCAAGAATCTCTTGCCTCCCTACTATCCAAGAAGAAAGCTCTGGCAAATTAATTAGTCTCTTCTCCTTCCTCATCACGTCCGCTGCTCAGATCCTTCCTGTGTTCTAATGAGGTGTCTGCCTCCATCTCGGCAGCACAAACCTTTGCCACATTCAGAGGCAGGTACCTTGTGTCTTGAGGACACTGGGCAAGAGTTAGGGGAAATAATTCCCTGGGGCTTGAACAGTATTAGTAGCGAGAGAAAATGTTTAGGGATATGGGTCATGCTGTCCCCGCACTGAGCACGGGATCCCAAGTGACAGAGACGCCCATATTTTCTTGAATACGTTTACTGTTTATTTTTGTGTTTGTGACACAAGCAGGAGTCAGCAAACTATGGCTCTTGTGCCGGATCCAGCCTGTGGTCTGGTTTTTGTTTTTTATCTGACTGCCCACAAACTAAGAATGGTTTTCACATTTTAAAAGGTTGTTTAAAAAAAGAACAGGTTGCCCTGGCCAGTGTGGCTCAGTTGGTTGAGCGGCATCCCATGCACCGAGGGGCTGCCGGTTTGATTCCCAGTCAGGGTGAGTGGGGAAGGCAACCGATCAATGTTTCTCTCTCTCTCTCTCTCTCTCTCTCTCAAATCAATAAAANTATGCACCAAGGGGCTGCCGGTTTGATTCCCAGTCAGGGTGAGTGGGGAAGACAACCGATCAATGTTTCTCTCTCTCTCTCTCTCTCAAATCAATAAAAAACATCCTCTGGTGAGGATTTAAAAAAAAAAAAGTAATAGAAATCGCATATGACCCACAAAACCTGAAGCATCGACTATCCTGCCTTTTACAGAAAAAGTTTGCCAATCCCTGCTCTAAAACACAGGGCCCGGGGTAGGGCTTCCTCTGGCCCAGTACTAAGACCAGACTCTAATTTCCCCCACATTGCCTCCTATGTTCAACACAACTGGCCCAAACCCAGAGTCCTATCTTTGGTGCTTTAGCTCCATCTGCTGGTCCAATGTCTTTCATCAGTGCTGTAAACCAGAGAATGTTCTTACACGTTTCAACCTCATTTTACTAATGGATTGGTTTTATTCGCTGAGCCAGCCTATTGGAATTTAACGTAGCTTCTCCGTGTTTCACTGAGTTACATTTGTCCACACACAACTCGTATCTTGAAACTGCTGGTGGCCAGCAGGTCACCTGCACGGCACAATACCAGCCACCAATAAAAGTGACACAAATAGAGGACCAATAGGAATGTCATTACTTACTGGGATATGAGAAGTAACGGAGAGGTGAAACTGAACAGCGGCTCTATTTTTAAGGAAATGGCGGTAAGAGAAAAAGTAGAGAACTGTGGGAAGAGATGACAAGTTCAGTTTTTAAAATCAGAGCCATTTTATCTTCACTTTCCCGGGGCCTGGTAGTTTCTATTTATATACTTATGCTGCTAAGTGAAAACGAGTGACAGCAATGACAGGTGGGACAAGTTAGGAGCCTTGTGTTATGATGAAGCACTCACGCTACCCGTGAAGTGCTATAATGTTATTTGAACCTGAACTTGGATTCGCTGTAAACGTATATTGCACATTCTAGGGCAACCACTAAAAAAAAAAAAGTTTAAAAAGAAGAGAAATTGCTAAGACAGGAGATAAAATGGAATCACATAAAATGTTCAGTTAAAAGCACAAAAGGCAGGAAAAGAGTGGAAGACAAAATAGAAACAAAGAACAAAGGCAACAATTAGGAAACAGTAATGAGGATGGCAGGCATTAACTCAACCACGTCGATGACCGCTTTGAACGCCAATGCTGGAAATGTACCAATGAAAAGACAGAGATTGTGCCCTGGCTGGTGTCCTCAGTGGTCAGAGCGTCAGCCTGCACACCGAAGGGTGGAGTGTTCGATTCCCAGTCAAGGGCACATACCTGGGTGGCAGGCTCATTCCTGGCCCTGGTTGGGGTATTTGGGGTGCGATGTGTTTCTCCCACATCGTTGCTTCTCTCTCTCTTTCTCTCTCACTCAATGCAAAAAATATCCTCGGGAGAGAATTAACAACAGCAACAAAAAAGAGATTGTCCAAGTGGATCAAAAAACAAGACCCAACTCTATGCTGTCTATAAAAAACCCACTTTAACTCTAAAGACACATAGAGACTAAATGTAAACGGGTGGAGAAAGATACACCGTGCTCACACTAATGAAAAGAAAGCCAGAGTCACTAGATTACTTGCAGAAAGAGCCTGCTTAAAGCAAGGAAAGTTATCAGGGGTAAAACAGGACGTAGAACACCCAGACTAGTCCATTGAAAAAGGAGCAGTGAAGGGAACCTAATCAGTCCAATGGACCAGCGGTTGACAAACTACAGGGCACCAGCCAAATCTGGCTTGTTGCCTGTTTTTTTGTATCGCTCACAAGCTAAAAATGGCTTAATAATTTAAGAGACTGGAAAAAAAATGAAGAATGCTATTTCATGACATGTCCAAGTTATGTGAAATTCAGACTTCAGAGCCTGTGAGTGAGGTTTTACTGGAACACAGCTGGGCTCATTCGTTCGCACGCTGCCTGGAAGAGTTTCAACAGAGCACATGCGGCCTGCAAAGACGAAAATCTTCGCTATCTGGTCCTTTATGGGAGAAAGTTGCCAAGTCCTGCAATAAAAAAATAGGAAATCAGAAAAAAATAAAGCCAAAAAGATGTTTGGCACCTTACTGAGTGATGTTAGCACTGAGTTATCATCATCATCACTGTGATCAATGAACACTTGTGAGGGCTACTTCCCGAGAAGGTTCATATTAAGTGAAAATGTCCAACAGTTAGTCGAGAACTAGAGAGAGGAGTGAGACCAGAGTTCTTCCTCCCTTGGTTCCTTTGGGGGTCCAGCTTTGCCCCTGCCCTGCCTCTGAAGGTAGCACCCAGGGGTGACTAGATTTAGAGGTGGCCTGGCCTGGGCAGAGCTTCGAGATGCCTGACCTGCCCTGTTTTCAGTTGCAGGGAGTCATCATGGTCGCCTCCTGTTTCCAGATGCTCGTGGGCTTCTCGGGACTCATAGGCTACCTCATGCGCTTCATTGGCCCCTTGACCATTGCTCCGACCATCTCCCTGGTGGCCCTGCCTCTCTTCGATTCTGCGGGCAATGACGCTGGGGTCCACTGGGGGATCTCTGCCATGTAAGTCCTCTCCGGGGAGGGAGAGCCACCTGGGTTCTCTTTGGTGGAAGATCACCCAGTAAGAATACTAAGAGTCCTGGATATTGCCCGACTCTCTGGTTTACAAATACTTTCAAGAACATTATGATGCCTTGAAAAGCAGTGAAATCGCTACTTGTAATTTATTATTGCTGCTATGAATTGTGTCACCAGTCCACGCAGACGATGGGGTAACCACAGGCAGTGCAGAAGAGTCCTTAGCGGAGGGCTCACGGTAAGTGGATTCGATTAGTCCCCAGACTACAGGTTTTCATTGAGCAAATGCTTGTAGACCTCTGGCACCTGGGAAGGGTACAAAGACATGGCCTCATAGCGCAGTGTCGGAGAGAGAGGACTGTGACACCGGGAGATAGGGATGAGAGTTAGAATGTCGTGCACGTTCAGGGGAGGGGTGGTGATAGCCAGATGGGGGCATCGGGAAGGCTTCCTGGGGAAAAAAGGCCTCTAGCATTTATACAGAGCTTTGAAGCGACTTGAGGATGACACTGGGCATTATCTTTCACTCTGCTCATTGTGGTCTGACCACAAAGACCTACAGAATAACTTGGGAGAGAAGATGATCTCAGACCCTGGCCTCACTGGCTCCAACCGCTGGATCTGTTCAGCTGCCACCCTCAAGGGATGCTAGTGCCCCCCCCCCACACACACACACTGTTCCTCTTCAGCCACCAGCAGCTTCTGAAGGGGAACCTCAGGACGCGGTCTGCACCGCAGAGCAGGGCTAGATGGGACCCTCCCGGGGTGGCCGCTGCCCCCGTGGTGGCTCAGCACCCTGGACGCTCGCTCAGGACAGCCCAGCTTGCCAGGATGGGTGTGGCATGTTTCTGTTTCAGGACGGTCTTTCTCATCCCTGGACCCTCGCTCAGGACGGGCCCGGCTTGCCAGGATGGGTGTGGCATGTTTCTGTTTCAGGACCATCTTTCTCATCGTGCTGTTTTCTCAATACCTGAAAAACATCGCAGTGCCTGTGCCCATTTACGGACGAAAGAAGTGTCACACCTCTGAGTTCTACCTGTTTCAGGTCTTCCCCGTAAGAAGCGCTCCCTGCCCTCTGCCATTCTTAGTTCACTCACCTCGAGAGTGAGGGGCAGCGTCTTGCACTCCCGGATGGCCCCCAAATCGAAGGCTCCCCCATCTGCAGGGGCCTCCCCTCCGTGACCTTCCTTGACTCACCTGTGGTCTGTGGGAACACTCCCTGGCCGTTGGGGCAATGCCACCCCAGGTCTTCCTTCAGTGCTTCTCTCCCAGGAGCAGAGACTCCTGCCCAAGGTCGCTGCTCTGGGCCCCAGCGAGGGACAGCCTTCTCATTTTCCCGGGCCATCCTCGTAGCGAGACACTGGGGAGACAGCCAGGCTCACGGCTGATCATGTAGAACCAAGGGCCAAGATTCTCAGCTCAGGTTCTTTCTCAGTGGCTCATGGGTAATTCAGGTGCCCCGTGATGACGGTGGTCCCTCCCTTTTCAGAGCCTTCTCTGCTGAATGTGTAGCTGCCGGACACACGTTTTCAGGGCTACTTGCCTGTGAGCTCCATTTCCCACTGTAGGAAGATACTTCCATATAATGATCTCATTATCTTCAGCACCACGTGGGCCAGGGCTCTGAACTTCAGTGGCCATGCGAATTACTTGGCGACATGGCCAAAAATACAGTTTTCTGGGGTTCAGCCACCAGAGATGAAAAATCAAATATCTGAGGACCCAGCTGTAAGAACTCCTGCTTCAGGCTCTACAGAGCAGTGACTGTGATTCCATTGCACAGATGAGGAAACTGAGGCTGAGAATTTGACCCAAGACCATGTGACCGGCAAACAGTAGAAAGGGAGACAGACTGTGTAGTAAGTGCCCATTCTACTAGACAGCCTGTCTCTATTTGACACAAGGACTCCCCATCATTTAAATTCTATGTTCCTTTAATGTGCTAATTACTTACAACACACCAGATTCCTGTTGTCCCTGGAAGGGCCCCTCTGGGAGGGGTTGGCCCTGGTGGGCAGGGCAGGCCCAGTGCTGAAGGGTGGCTTCCCCTGCAGGTGCTGCTGGCCCTCTGCATCTCATGGTTGCTGTGCTTCGTGCTCACAGAGACCGACACGCTCCCCTCGGCCCCCACAGCCTATGGGTACCTAGCCCGCACTGACACCAAAGGGAACGTCCTGAGCCAGGCCCCTTGGTTTCGCTTCCCTTACCCAGGTAATGAGAAGATGGGGACCATTCTGGCCTGGGACACGTTTCCCAGGACTGCCCGTGGGGCCCAGGGCACGGGATTCAGAGTTGAATACGGCTGGAGGAAGGCTTTCCTCCATCTGACAATGAGGGACAGGCACCATATCAGACCCCTAAGAGAAGGAGACCCCTGGGTTGTCCTAAGAATCCCATGGGGACAGAGAATGGTACCCCTTCCTATGGCAAGAATGTCCGGGCACTGGGTATCACCAGGGTAAGGCTGCTGATGGTCGCTCCTGGGGGCAGGTGGGTACCTAAATCTGTCACTCAATATTAGTCTCCTATTTCTTCTGTGACAAATTAACACAAATTTAATGGATTCAAACAACTCATATTTTACTGCTAGACAAGAGGCTCCCACTCTCAGACGAACCTCTGAGCTGGCCTACATCTCTCATCCCCCCTCCTTGTTGCCCAGAGCCCGTGAACCTGGGAGTGGGGAGAGGGCAGAGAGGTCCCCACCTCCTAGCCAGACCTTTGGGTCTCCTCCTGGATTCGGTAAATCCCACACAAGGGAGGCCCGGGACTGAATGAGAACATTTCTGAGGAGACAAGTTCAAGGCCATCCCTTAGGCCACTTCTGGTCTCCTTTCCCCTCAATTCTTGGCTCAGGGTGTATAAATAACCAGGTTCCAGGGAGGGCTGCCCTGACCTGCGGACTGTGGAGCTGGGGTCTCCCTGAGTAAGAATCTCATCTTCCAAAGGCTTCTAGGTCTTTCTGGAAGACACTCTGTTGCTGGCCCTTTTTGTGCACAGTGACCTCAAGGTCAGGACATCTGACCCACCGCAAGGGAGGAATAGTAGGGCAGGAGTCTGAGCCAAAGTTTCTGGACAGTTGTGGGGTTGAAGGCATGCTGCCTGGTCTCTAAAGCTTTCCAGAGACTCCTCTGGCAAAGACATTATTTGGGGTTCAGCAGCCTGTTATCTTCTGGATTAATATTCCTTCTGCATTGCATTTTCAGGACAGTGGGGCTTCCCCACCATCAGCCTGGCTGGGGTCTTTGGGATCATCGCCGGGGTGATCTCCTCAATGGTGGAATCAGTAGGCGATTATTATGCCTGTGCCCGGCTGGTGGGGGCCCCACCCCCTCCGAAGCATGCCATCAACCGTGGCATTGGCATTGAGGGCCTTGGCTGTCTGCTGGCAGGTGCCTGGGGGACAGGGAATGGCACCACCTCCTACAGCGAGAATGTTGGGGCGCTGGGTATCACCAAGGTAAGCCTGCTGATGGTGGCTCCTGGGGGCAGGTGGGGTACCTAAATCTGCCACTGAATGTATTAGTCACCTATTTCTGCTGTAACAAATGAGCACAAACTTAGTGACTTCAAACAACCCAAATTTATTATTTTACCGATCTGAAGGTCAGAAGTCTGATATGGGTCTCATGGGGCTAAATAAAGGTATTGGCAGGGCTGTATTCCTTTCTGGAGGCTCCAGAGGAGAGTCCATTTCCTTGCCTTTTCCATCATCTGGAGGCCACTCAATTCCTTGGCTATGGTTCCCATCCTTCTTTGTCCAAGCCAGCAATGTCCCATTTCTCCGCCTCTCTCCCATAGTCACATATCCTCCAAGCACAGCCAGGAAAGGTCCTCTGCTTATAAGGATTCATGTAATTAGATCAGGCCTACCTGGATAACTTAGGAGACTCTTCAATCTCAAAACCCTCAACTTCATCACATCTGGAAAGTTCCTTTTGCCATGCAAGGTAACATTTTCGCAGGTTTGGGGATTAGGACATGACATCTTCAAGGGGCTATCATTTCGCTTACCGTACTTGCCCTTCTTGGTTCTGGCCATTCCACAGGCAGAAAGTCTATCCTGGCAATCGTAGAAGTCACGTGGAAGCAGAGGGGGTTCACTTTGGGGTTAGGCGGGGCTGCTTCTGTGAGTCCTCCTGAGTGTTGTTTGAGGTGCCCTGGCTGGCTGAGCTCTTCGTTTCGATCTCCCCGAATGCCTCAGGTGGGGAGCAGGATTGTGATTGTCACCGCAGGCTTTGTGCTGCTCCTGATGGGCGTATTTGGGAAGATTGGGGCTGCGTTTGCCACCATCCCAACCCCCGTGATCGGAGGCATGTTCCTTGTGATGTTCGGGGTCATCACTGCCGTGGGGATCTCCAGTCTGCAGGTGAGCCAGGTGCCCTTGGGAAAGCAGCAGCATTTCATGTCTTGGGAGGAGCCCATGGGGTTTGAGATGAATGGAACAGGGCTGGGGAAGGGGAGGAGAAGGGATCCTTGGTCCCAGGAACCACATTGGGCCCCCAGTGGAAGAAAGAAATAGCTAGAAGCACCCAAAACCAGAAATTGTAGCAGTTTGAATTGGATTATCTAAACCACTCAGTTCACAAGGTCAAGTAGGAATCGGGGCCGGCTTGTCTGCTGAGGATGCGTTGCTCTGAGTTTAGCTTCCTCCCAAACCCCTGGCGGTGGTGGGAGGGGAGGGGCATTTGGAGGGATGTTAGATGGGTGTGCAGCAAAGGTGCTGATGTCTCTGGGCTGCTGGGGGGGGGGGCTCTCTCCCACAGTACGTGGACATGAACTCATCCAGGAACCTCTTTGTCTTTGGCTTCTCCATCTACTGTGGGCTCGCCATTCCCAACTGGGTGAACAAGAACCCCGGGAGGCTCCAGACAGGTGATTCTGCATCCTCTGGACCATGACCACTCCAGGGACAGAGCCAGTGGGGCCCCTGATCCCTGGGAATTCCTTGTTAGTTTTAAAAAAAAAAATTTGATTGATTTTGAGAGAGAGAGAGAGATTTATTGTTCCATGTATTTATGCATTCATTGGTTGATTCTTCTATGTGCCCTGGCCAGGGATCGAACCCACAACCTTGGCATATTAGGATGATGCTCTAACCAACTGAGCTACCTGGCCAGGGCTTCCTTGTCACTTTTATCTCCATTCTAGGGATTCTGCAACTGGACCAGGTCATCCAGGTGCTGCTGACCACAGGCATGTTTGTCGGTGGATTTTTGGGCTTTCTACTGGATAACACCATCCCAGGTAGGGCTCACCTTCACTCTGTAAGCTGGCAGTTTTGGTAGACGGTCAGCATGTGGACCACTCACCTTGTTTCTCCAGCACTGATTGCCAGGGCAGGCTGGCCACAGTCTGCCTGGGCCTTGGGTCTGGGTGGGGCGTATGGGTCTATATTAGCTTTCTAGGGCTGTCATCACAAAATACCACAGTCTGGGGGCTTAAACAACTAAAATGTATTTTCTCACAGCCTGGAGTCCAGAAATCCGAGATCAAGGTGTTGGCAGGGTTGGTTTCTCCTGGGGCCTCTCTCCTAGGCTTGCAGACAGCTGCCTTCTGGCTGTGTCCTCACTTGCCCTTTCCTCTGTGGGTGTGCATCCCAGGTGTCTCTCTATGTGTCCTAGTCTCCTCTTCTTATAAAGACACCTGTCATATTAGATTAGGGCCCACCCTAAAGCCATCCTCTTTAATTTAGTCATCTCCTTAAAGCTCCTATCTCCAAATACAGTCACATCACAAGGTACAGGGATAAGAGCTTCAACATACAGTTTTTTGGGGGGCAGAATTCAGCCCATAACAGAGCCTTAGGTGAAAAATATACCATAAGCAAAAAGAAAAAGACACAGCCCCGGCTCTCTTAGAGCCTGAAGTCTAGTTGGTGAGGGAGAGAATACAGGTATTCATTCATTCATTCATTCATTCATTCATTCATTCATTCACTCAATTTTCAATAAAAACTCCTTGAGCACTTGTGTTCCAGGTGCTATGTACAGGCATACCCTGTTTCATTGCCATTCACTTTACTGTGCTTCACAGATACTGTGTGTTTTTAAGAAACTCGGCCAGCACAAAGATTACGACTCACTTTATTACGATACTCGCCTTGTTCCGGTCGTCTGGAACTGAGTGCGCAGTGTCTTTGAGGGAGGCCTGTACTGAAAATACAAAGAGCAGAAAGACATGCCCCCTGCCTTCCAGGAACCCCCAGGCTAATGAGGGAGAGAGTCGAGAAAGCAGAGCATTGCAATACAGGGTAATAAGTGCATTGATGAGCAAATGGAGCCTCTGGGGGCTGAGGGTGTGGAAGGTGGAGAACACAGAGCTGCCATCCCCGATGGCTTTCCACGCTCCCTTCTTGACCCTCCCGCAGCCTCTTACAAGGACCTCTGCGCTAGCACCTGCTTTGGGTATTTTCCACATTTGTTTTCCCCTCCAAGTGTAAAATGTGTCTGCATTCCAGAGACATTAACATGCGGAAAGGCCGGCCCCTAACGAAAGGGTGGTGGTTCATAGAGGGTCTTACCCCAGAGCTCTGCACAGTGTCAGCCCCACAGGGGGAGCTCAGGGATTGCCTGAGGATCTGGGCTGAGCCGAGTGATTCCTGAGATGGGCTTGGCAGCTCTGTTTGCAGGTAGGAGCCCTCATGAGTGCCCGCAGGGGGATCCAGAAGCTCCCTCCAGCCCTCCTTCGTCCACTCTATCTGGGCCCAGGCTTGACTGCTCACTGTCTCCTCTCAGGAAGTCTGGAGGAGAGAGGCCTCCTGGCATGGAATGAAATCCAGGAGTCAGAGGAGACTTCGAAGGTCTTGGAGATCTACGGCCTCCCCTGTGGGATTGGCACTAAGTTCTGCACTTCCTCCGGCTTCCAGTCCCTCCCCTTCTGGCCCAGACCAGAACGTGGTGGGAAAGGGGAGGTAGGAGTGAGCCAGCTCACACTCTGCTCCCAGGATTCCTCAGGAGGGCACCTGAAGGGTGCCACAGAGACCAGGATGTGAGGCCATCTCTTCAGATGCACGTCCCCAAGTCCTCTCCACCACCACCACAACCCAGAATGTGCTGATCTCCCCATGCAGGCATGGGTGGGGACCACACCCTCCTGAGCACCTCCTCCGTCCCATACACTGTGGCAGCCAAATACGCATTAGGTGAAGACCATGACAAGCATGCTTAGTCACTTAGTCATTGAAGCCTGGCCTCAAGCTGCATCCTTCCATGGGGCTCCAACCCTCCTGTCTCTAGTGTAGACCAGCGTAGCCTGATGTCCCCACAGAAACTCCCTCAGTCCACATGTTCTTAGCAGTATGTTGATGCCTTGGGAGGAAGAGGCCTGGGCTGGGGCAGGGGACAGATGGGGCTGCTGGTTGAAAGAAAAAGTCTCTTCCCAAAGAAGCAAGTGGCCCTGCTGGCCCCTCCAGGCCCTTCCCCTCCATTCAAGGGTCTTTATTAATAGAAGAAGCAGGCGTAGTTCGTTTCTAAGCCAATGTCTTGTGGCACGTGGTTGGGGTCAGCACTGTTCCCGGGCTCCCAGAGCATGTAGGATGAGTGGGTGGTCTCCAGAACTCTCCAGAACCCACCAGAACAACAACCTGAACCCAGAGTGCACTGGAAGTACCTGGTATCTTGGCACCTGCAGAGACAGGTCCTGCCTGACCTTTTCTTAGAAGGCCTATGGGCTGAGCCTCAGCTGCAACCGGTACATCCCACCCCCAAAGAGGAGCACACGGGGAGCAGGTGCATGCCCTGCAGGCCAGCCCCTTATCCCAAACAACCCTGAAAGACCAACACGGAGCCATGCTGCTCTTAATAATTTATAATAATCAGAAACTAAAACCATCAAAATGCTTCTGGGACAGTCCATCCAAAATATCCCAGAAGGCTGAGGCACGTGCAGCCTTCGCTGCCGGCATTCAAACTTGGAAACTGTTTCATTGCCTCCCCTCCCAGCCCTTCTGCATTACAAATCTTCATCGTCAAAGGTCTCCATGCACTGCAACATCATCATCTCATCGTCCATGGGGAGGTCTGCTTCCTGCAACACACGTGGAAGAGAATTGATATTTATTTAAGGATTCCTGGCCCGGGCAGATGGGGAGACTGCACCAGCTCAGGCGTGCCCCACTCCCTCAGTCTCTAGCCCACATCTTTTCGGCTGCATCTTCACCTCCAGCTTGTGGCCAGAGAGTAAGGACAGTTGGGGGGAACGGTCCATTTCCATTTAGCTCTATGGTTGCCAAAAAGGCCCTTCCTGGATACCTCAGAACTGACTTCTTTCCTATCCTGGGGATTTCCAGGATCCCAGAAGAGAGACAGGGTAAGTCTTAAAGCTTTATTCAAATGTCTGTCAATAGAGGACAGTGAATTACACCGTGAAACATCTACCAATGGAACACCAGGCAGCTGTTTCAGAAAAAGGAATGCAATCAGTCTCTACTAATTAAAAAGGGCAAGATATGCCCTGGCTGGTGTGGCTCAGATGGCTGGGTGTTGTCCCATGAACCAGAAGGTTGCTGGTTTGATGCCCAGTCAGGACACATGCTTGGGTTGCGGGCTTGATCCCCAGTGGGGGTAGTGTAGGAGGCAGCTGATCAATGTTTGATGTTCCACTTTCACATCGATGTTTCTCTTTCTCCCTCTCCCTTCCTCCCTCTCTAAAAAATCAATAAACATGTTTTTTTTAAAAGCACCAGATACAAAGCAATGTGCACAGTAGACTACCATTTGTGTTTGAAAGAATTCATAAATATTGGATGGCTGTTCAAGAAACTGGGGATGGTAGTTGCCTTTGGGGGAAAGAATGGGTGGTAACCAAGGGGTGCTAGTAGGAAAGAGACTGTTTTCTTTGTATATCTTTTGGTAACTTCAATTTTGAACATGGGTTAGCTATTAAGAGATCATTTTTTTCAAGAAGCAGCACTATGTTAGTTTAGCAAGGGTTTCTCATTCCCTTTATGATGACCCCAGCCAACCTCTCTGAGTCCCCATTGCTTCTCCCCCTAAAAGTATGTTTAGGGGCTTTTGCACTTCCTGTCTTTCCCCAGCCCAGCAGGAAATGACCCCTGAAGTTTGTTAGTCCTGCTGGTTTGGGGATGATCCCCTTGGGCCTTGAGAAGCATTCCAGTCAACCATTTCATGAATGTGGGACCTGGTCCCAAGGGTGACAGATTGGGGAATAAGTCTGCAGATGAAGTCTTTCCAGCTCTGGAGACTGTGCTCTACTGATGTGGGGAGGCGTACGGGGAGCCTGCGTATCCGAGGGGGATCTGGTGGTGAAAGGATGATCACCCGGGGCCCCTTGTTTGGGGTGAAGACAACTGTAAAGGTTGAGGAAGGAGGGAGTCAGAGTGTAGGGGGCTCCAGGAGGCCAAGCATCCTGGAGGAATCACACACTCAAGTCTGTCACACAAAGTGCTTGAATAGTGTTAAAATGTTCTAGTTCCTTAAGCCCCTGAAAATGGAGTCTGAGGCATGTTAAGCTGCAGATTTGCAAAAGCAACAGGCTGTGAAGAGTGACTGCAGGAATTGGGGTGCTGCAGTGTGTTGAACAGTGTCCCCCCAATTCATGTCCACCTGGAACCTTATTTGGAAATAGGGTCTTTGCAGATATAATTAGTTAAAGATCTTGAGACGAACTCATCCTGGATTTGGGGTGGCCCTCAATCCAAATGACACGTTCTTATAAGAAGATGAGAGGGATAGAGAGACACAGAAGACAGCCTTGTGAAGACAGGGGCTGCAACTTAAGTGATGAGCTGCCAGCCAAGAAGTGCTGAGGGCTGCGGGGCCACCAGAAGCTAGGAAAAGGCAAGACAGGCTCTTTCCTACAGCTTCCAGAGACAGCACGGCCTGCCACCACCTTCATTTGGCCTTCTCGCCTCCAGAACTACGAGCGAGTTGTACACCATTAAGTTAGTGCTAATTTGTTACAGCCAATTAAGGGTCATTCGGTCACCTCCACAAAGCTGACGGGGAGATGGATGGGGAGAGAATGGAATTTCCCTCTTTACACCAGCAGCTATGAAAGCCCCAGGCCTCCTGCACCAGAACCTCTGGGACAACTTGTTTAAAATACAGATCCCTGTGGACCCGTATCTTGAAACACTGAGTGAGAATCTTGGGGCACCAGGAACCTGCATTTCTAAGAAGCTCTCAAGGTGATTCAGGTTCGTCCTCTGCTTTCTGTGGATACTCCAACCTCTGCTTGTTCTTTCCTTTCTGCCCTGTGTGCAGAAAGGAAGCAGGGAAAGCAAAGATTGTCCCATTACTGGGTCCCCATGAATACTCAGGAAGAAAGGGCCAGGGTTTTGCTTAGCCTATTGGAAGCTGTCCTGATTATTTTTAGATGAACATTCTCATTACTACCGCTTACCTTTTAAAATAAACAATTGTATTCTTGCCAAACTAGTAGAGAAAAGCTATGGTTATGAAGTTTCGAAATGTACCTCCTAACCAAGACCTTTGCTACTTATGTCATCATAAGCTGCACAGCCTCCCAAAGCTGACAGTAAATATTACCCCAGGGTCTCAGGAGATGGGGGAACAGCTCAGCCTCTTGGTAAGGTGTGAAGGGGTCACAGGATATTTCGGGATGCCTGTGAAGAGCCGGGCCCTGGGCCCTAGTCGCTACTTCAAGGTCTGCCCTGAGAGCATCCCTCTCTCTTCCCCAAGCTTCCCCAAATGTCTCCCATGCCACAGACTACATTAGACTGAAGTTGAGCATCCATGGAGCAGGCCAGAGAAAATGAAAGAATGTCCCCACCAGTGGCCTTGTGGTGTGATCCGGGTGAGGTCCAGCTAGGGTTCCCCTCAAGGGCCCTTTCTGGACCCTGAGCAGGGAGTACAGAGGTCTCACACTGTACTCAGTCCTACCTGTTTCACCTGAGTGTTAACACAGCAAAGGCCTTTAAAGAAGTCAACGATCTGCGTATAGAGCTGAAACTTCTCTTCTGGGTTCTCGGGGTTGCAGCTGGCAAACATGGAACTGACGACAGAGAGGAAGAGAAATGGCAAAGGTTTAGAATTCTGCTCTTTGACCTCTGCTTGTACCCCCTAAAAAACTTGGATTATGGCTCGAACCAAGCACTTTTAAACACCCGCTGAATCCTCGGAGAGCCAGGAGCCCTTCTTGGAAAGTTAGTGTTGCCTCAGCTCCATGTCACGTCTGAAACCCACTGGGAAAGTGAGACGAAAGGGGCACTGGCTCCTGTGTCCTAATTTAGTGCCCTGAGCTATGGCCTCTGGAACAGGGCGGTCAGATGTCCTCTGTCCCTGACAGTCAACCTCACAGTGATGCCCTGTGGCTCTGGTCCACCAGTGGGCACACCTCATACTTGAGTTCAGTCTCTTCAGACGCCTCCACCCAGTAGGCTCACAGGGGACATGAATGCAGAGAAAAGACCTCTGTTTTGCAGACTCCTTTCCCACTGCCTTCCTGGGAAGACAACAACCAGGGACCACAGAGCAAAGAAGCCCAGGACAGCTGGCATTTTGACCTCAAAACATCCCCCAGCAGGCCCCGCCTTTTCTAGGGAATGTAGAAAAAAGATTTTTTTAACAGGTTGTTTTTTTGTTCCACCAGCAGGGTAAGAAATTACAAATATTGCTGCCAAGTACACTTCATACTTCGGTAACTTCTTGGCAAAGTCGTCTTCACAGCCTGAGCCCAGCTCAGAATTCGGAATGTCTACCTGCTGCCAGTTCCAGCCAAGTTCAAGTCCACACAGGGCCGAGAAGAGCTGGAGTCGTCCCATAAAAACCACGCTGGGCAGGTTTTGGACAGGGCTGTCTAGGCCAGGGTGGAGCAGGTGAGGGGAAGGACAAGTTCTGATTTGTGGCTGAGTTACCAGGGACAGCGGTTGTATGGCCTCAGGGGGGAATGGAGATATGCATTGGAATCACGAAGACATGAATGTCACCCTTACTCCCAAGGCAGAAAAATTAAATGTTCAGGTGTCTTTTAGCCACGACACAGCACAGGTGTCTGAAAGGCCTGCACCTCAGGCTATAAAACCACAGCTTTTCAAAGTAGCAAAGGAATTTCAGTCCTACACTAGCTCTCTCTGAAAAAAGGCCCCGATGGATCAGGCTTAGTCAAGCTGCTGTTTGTTTTCAAATCTCCCCAGATCCATGGGGTCAGCGGTCCCACCCTCCCCTCCTCTCATATCCACTGACACCAAGTGACAAGCAGCTTCCCCCTTGTACAGCTCAGAGAGTCTCCTAAGCTCTGAGTACGGGCCTGTTTCCATGTTGGCCCAGGCTCTCCATACCCCAGACTCCCTGCCCACCTCCCAGACCAGACCGATTGCTATAACCTGCCCAAAGCCACCTCACCCCACCCTAGGAAAACAGTGCAACGTGAACAGCCTGGAGTTGATAACCTGTTGTGTCTCAACCCTGGGCCAGGATAGAAGAATGTTCTGCTTGGAAGAACCCCAGACAATACCATCCCCAGGGCAATGGCACAATCCTAGGACCAGCCGCTTTGAGTCACAGGTAAAAGTGGGTCTCCAAGAATTTCCACTGAATTATGCACCTCTCTGAGGGGCTGCAGGGGAGAGGCTCCTAAATATCCCAGCACGGGTACACATACACACACATGTACACACGTACACACATATGCATGAACCCACACATGCATGTACACACACGTGCACATGCATACATGCACGCTCACATGTGCGTGCATGTATATACACATCTACACCTACACATGTGCGTGTACACATATGCACACACATGTACATGCACACATGTACGCACACCTACACCTACACACACACACACAGCATCTCACACCCCGTCCTCACCTGGGGCTGGATATACTTGGAGCCTCACTTTTGTCCAGGAAACATGCCACATCGAAGGCATCTTCAAAAAGGAGCTGAAAGAAAGCACAGAGCTTTGTGTGTCAGACATAACTGCAGTTTGCCTTTTGCCCTGGGCCGTGGTGAGAGATGAGCAGGAAGGCTGTCTCTCTTTACCCCTCACCCCTGAGGGGCGGGCTTGTTAAAGCTGGGACCAATCCCAAGGTCTCTGCTTGGTGACCTCCCCAGGGGGTGAATATTAAGCTCTTGCCTGCCCAGAACCAACTGCCAACCCCAGAGGGAAGTGCTGGGGACTGTGGTTTCCTCTTTCTAAAGAAGACAGAGCTTAGGCGTGAGATGCAACAGCCAGAGCTGAGCCTCAGTTTGTCTGAAGAAGGGCCCCTCTACCCCTCCCCAGGTGGAGAGCCTATTTGAGCCCAGGGTTGACAGTCAGTCAGTTTCATGCCAGGGCAGCTGAACATAGAGGTCAAGGGGGCTCTGGAGTTAGGCTGCAGGAGAACCTATCCCAGCCCTGCCACTCAGTCAGCTGTGTGACCTTGGACAAGTGACTTAATCTCTCAAGTCCTCCTCTATAAATGGGAATCACAACAGTGCCTACTCATAGGATTGTTGCAAGGATTAAATAAGATGAGGTGTGTGAGGCACCAGCACATAATAATGGCTGAAACACGTGAGCTGTTATTGAATATTATCTGCTTTATAAAAGAAATACTTGTTTATCATGGAAACTTTGGAAAATAGAAACAGATAGAAAAAATAAAAATCACTGAGAATCCCCCCTGGAGAGGTCCATTGTTGACATACTAATTGATTTCCCTCCATCCTTTCCCTGGGTGTATTACATCACATATCCCGTTTTGGCATCATGCTATTTAGACAGTTTTTGGTCCTGCTTTGCCTTAATTTGCTGAAGAATATTAAATATTCCACAGGGACCTGATATACACATAAGATGGCCAGATTTAGCAAAGAATATACGGGATGCTTCGTTAAATCTGAAGTTTAGATGAACTATTGCATGGAACCTTCCCACATTAAAAGTTTCACTGGCTGGCTGTGTTTTATCGGCACTGCTCACACAGGCAGCTCCCAGGACAGAAGGCTAAGTTCTCTGGCTCTGAACTGTGTCTGTCCTTCCTGTTCCCTGACAATGTGCTTCCCTTGAACTTGAACCCCTTGGGACTCTGGCCATGTGGTTGGCCCCCTCCTGGTTTTCTAGACATTTTCTGGTGTCCTTTTTTTAAATGTCCCTTTGGTCATCCCAAACAGGATCTGGAAAGGGGCCACCAAGCTCCAGTGTCCATCAGCCTAGAAGCCCATGGTCTGGGTGTTCCTCCCCCAGAGGCCTGCCCTCCACCAATCTGCCCTCCACCAATCTGCCCACTGAAGTTGCAGGCCACACACTGTCCTCACCAGGCAAACCCCTCACAAGCCAGTGTGGGAGGGGCACAGCCAGGCTCCATGGCCCTTTGAGTACAGGGCCTAGCCCTGAACACAAATGTTCCACAGCAGAACCTCTCAAGATGGACCAGAAGCTACAGAGGTTTCATTGCCACTAATTTAGAAGCCACAGTAACTGTGGTTCTGTCCCTACCTTGGACATAACTTCTCTTTGTCCTGCTCACCTTGTCACCCAGCCCTGAGTTGGGCAAAGCCAACTTCACTCAGTAGCAGCAATGCTCTTTGGGGTAGGAACTGACGTCCTCTCAAAGACTGGGCCTGACTGGTCCAAATGTAGTCCTATCTTGATTATGCAGGTCATTGGCCCAGTGATCTGCCAATCTAGCCAAGTCTTACCAATGAGAGAGGAGGAGAGGTTTGGTGGGAATTTCTGGAAAAGTTCTTCCTTGATCCTTGAGAAAGAGCCACAGGACATCTTTCTCTCTTTAATTTTCTATAGAGGCGGAGGCGTGACAGCTCGACTGCTACCAGCTGCCACCCACAGTCCCATGGGTCAGGGAAAGTGAGGACAGAAAAGGTGAGAAACCAGCCTTAGATGAAGCAGAGCAGAGAAAAGAAGAACATCGCTGAGACACCAACCAGACCCTTCCCTGCCTTGGAACCTCTCCGGGTGTGAGTAGTCCACTCCTGCAGGGTTTAATGAGCCAGTAACTTGCAGATAAAAGAATCCCAGCTGATGCAACCTTCTAAGGCTTCTCCTCTATAATCCCCATGGAAAGGCCAGGAAACTACCCGGAGAATTAGAAATGCTGTTCTGTGGTTGTGGAGATGATGTCAGGAAAATCAGAAACTGACCACGTGCGCCAGAATCCAAACAGCACCTCACAGTTGCTAAGTGACCCCGAGCAGATCCCTGGCATCTCCCTGCCTAGGGTGACACCCCTCTACCCCACCCTACAGGGGTCGCTCACCTCCTCCGGGGGGGTGGACTCAAGCGAGAAGCTGGCCCCTTGGCTGTCGACTCCACTGTCCTTCATGCTGTCCTCGACACAGGCTGGCTGCTGGGTGGCCCCCTCGAGGCCCGAGAGGCCGCTGTGCTTCTGCGCCAAGGCCTGCAGGAGACTGGCCTTCTCCTCGGAGAGGGTCTGCCACAGGTGGGAGATGGCCGCGGAGACGACGGGGAGCGTCGCCTCCTGTGAGGAGACAATCTTGTTCCTGGTCAGAAGGTCCATTGTCTGCTTGTAGAAGTTGAGGTATCTGGAACAGAAAACAACACCATCTGGCAGACCTGACGCTCGAGACCAAGGGCCCTGTCCCGGCCGTCTCCTCGGGATTCAGTGTGTGGTCGCCTCTCTGTGCTGTACCAGGGGCTTAGCATTACGAGTCCCTGCATGCCCCTGACCCTTGGAGAGCAGAAGCCATCTCAGGGGCCATGAATGCCAGGTTTCTGCTTCAGGGCCCTTCCTCATGTCCTCCCGGTGCCCCCCGGGAAGGAAGATGAGAGGCGGAGGCTGGCTCAGCTCTCACCCCACAGGAAAACCGCTTAAAATTTAGAGCCCATGGATGTGCAGATGTGATGTGACACCCGCTTTAATTTGAGGCCTGAGAGTCAGGCTCAGTGGGGGACTGAGCCTCCATCTATTGAGCCAATGTCCCAGAAGCCAACGTGGCTGCCAAGGGTCTCAGTCCATGGAGGGCAACGAGTGGCAGCGGGAGGCTGAGCCAGCCATTCTCATCGTTCTGACTATCATGCTGCCCAAAACAGATGTTGTGGGTTGTGTGTGTGGGGGGGCCGCCTTTAGCCCTTATAATCCCCATCGACACCCCCCCAAAGGCAGCCCAAATAAACACCCAGTCTACGTAAGTGTGTATGCGCTGTGCAACTGCAGCTTCACAACCAGTCCTTGAGCTTTTCTGCCAGGCCCATCCCCAGGCCCTACCGAGACTCGGGGTCCCACCTGAGGGTGTGGGCCCCCCCCCCGCGCCCCAGCTGGAGCCTCTGTGCTCTGCCCCCCTGGAGCTCCGGCCGGCGTGGAGCGGCCTCTCTCGGCTGTTCACACCGTTCAAATTCCATGAGGTCGGGTGACAGAGTGTCCAGGGACTGCAGGAGCTCCGAGGCCTCCCCCTCCTCCTCCTCCTCCTCCTCCTCCTCCTCTTCCTCCTCTTCTTCCTGATCTTCCTCTTCTTCCTCTTCCTCCTCTTCCTCCTCCTCGCCTTCCTCCTCAGCATCCTTCTCGAAGGGGCACGAGCTGGCAGAGTCTTTTGGGTGAACCTCATTTGGGAACCAGCTGCGGAGAAAACAGAAGCAAGAGAACCACAGACTCATTCCACCGTGGACACGGGCACCGAAACTCCTGACACAATCTTAGCGGGTTATATATGTATTTTTATATATGTGTATGTGTGATATATTATAACACACATATATGTCCATGTGCGTGTTACTATATCGTGCCCAAGCGGGCTTCATCCTATGAATGCAAGACAGCTGTTTCAAACATGGAAAATCCATCAGTGTAATTCACCGCAGCGACAGGCTAAAAATCTTACTGATGTTTGATTTTTAAATATTATGACTTTTACGCTCTCGATAGATGCAGAAAAAGCGCTTGGCAAAATTCAACATCCATTCGTGATTGAAACTCTCAGCAGCCCGGCCAGGCATGGCTCAGCGGTTGAGCGTCATCGACCTAGGATCCTGGAGATCAGGGGTTTGATTCCCGGTCAGGGCATATGCCCGGGGTGCGGGCTCAATCCCCAGTCGGGGGCGTGCAGGAGGTGGCTGATCAATCACTCGCTCATCATTGATGTTTCTATCTCTCTCTCTGCCCCTCTCCTTTCCTCTCTCTGAAATCAATAAAGATATATTAAAAACAAAAAAAAACTTTCAGCAAACTAGGAATAGAAGGGAATTTTGTCAACTCGAAAGGCCGTCTACCGAAAAGCTATGGCTAACATCATACTTAAAGGTAAAAGACTGTTTCATCCATAATATCAAGGACGAGACGAGAATATTCACTCTTATCACTGCTACTCAAAATCACACTGGAAATTCTAGCCAGACTAGGAAGGGGGAAAAAAGAAATAAACGGTATACACATTAAAAAGAGAGAAGTGAAACTGTCTTTAGTTGCAGACAGTGATCGTATACGTAGAAGACCCCAAAGAACCTACCAACACGAGACCATGATTAAGGGGGTTTAGCAAGGTTACAGAATACAAGGCTGGTAAACACAAATCAATAGTTTCTATATACTAGCTATGAGCAATTGGGAATTGAAATTTTAAAAAGTACTACTTATAATAGCACCCAAAAACATGAAGTACTTAGGTGTAAACCAAAATTTTAAGCTATAAAATAAAAAATGAGTCAGTTGGACTTCATCAAAGTTCTGCTCTTCAAAAGACATGCTTAAAAGAATGGAGCAGGCCAGCTGACCCTCCTGGAGCAGGGCCCTGCCTCTCTTCTTCTCAGGTGTCCTCCTCCTGAGCTGTAAGCGTCTCCACGAGATTTGCAGGGGAGCCGAACAATAAGACACCAGCAGGTCCCAGGTCCCCCGGTGCTGTGGGTCTTACCTGTGGTTTCTGCAGAACATGCTAGCGTAGTTTTCCTTCACCTCCTCTAAGCTGTTTGCATTTCCATCTTCCAGTTTGAAGGATTCTGTTGGGGAGTTGAAGGCAAGGGTCGCAAAAGGGAAAGTCTGGCCTTTGTCGAGTCTGTCCTGTCTTTCTGGTCCAGGGGGAGCATGAGCCCACCCAGGGTTCAGTGTTAGGGAGTCAAGAGCCTAGTTGCACCCCTCCTTCCAGATGTGAGGGGGAGGGCTTCTTGGAAGCCCTTCTCACTTAACACATCCAAAGTATCCCTTTCAGAGTTCAGCTTCCACCAGCTCATTAAACTCACTTTCCCAGCAGCCATCTCCCCCAAACCAAGTGCCGAGGAAGGGAGCCAGGTTGTGACAAACACTGGCCCATGTCTTCTCCAGCCTCTCAAGACGACATCAAGTACCTTCAGCAGCATCCAGTAGGATCTCATCATGCTTGCACAGGCCGATGACCTCTGAGGTCAGGCTGTGAATCTCATCTGCCCCTGGCCCAAAGCACAGTGCCTGGCACACGGCAGCCACTCGGTAAATATTCGCTCACTTCTCTTAACCCAATGTCTCTATTTTCAATAGAAAAACCAATCAGCCTTCCTTTCCCTGGGAGGGTGGTGGCGGTGGCAGGTAGGACCCCATTACCTTTCACCTTCAGCAGGTTATCCAAGATTTGTTCCTGTTCCTGAATGTGACTCTTCGCCCTGTTCAAAACCTGCCACTGAGGACAGAGACAGACAATGCTGAGAGGCCGGCCTCCCACTGCACAGACTGGTTTTGTGGACACAGGAGCACCTTCCTGGATCTGAGGTGATGCCCCCTCAGATGCAAGGTTTCAGTCCTTCATGTTGTCAATAAAAAGGGTGGGAAGTTTGTTCTGATGCAGAGAAGGCATGAAGTTTAATTTGTATTCTGGGAATGGTTCTCACCGAAATACCAAAGTATTTGGAAACAATTAAGCTGCATTCAGCAAACTACTAGGACTGCAAAAAAGGCAAAGGACAATGTACATTACTTAAAGGTGGAATAAATGGTGACTTACAGGCCGTCTGAATGAATATCAGCCCCAGGCTTGCACAAGGCTCCCAACTAACTTCTTCTGCTCACTTGCCACAATGTACAACTGGCTGGTTAATATTAAATATGCTATCCTAACAATATTTTAATTAACTAAATGCATACACCCCAGTTGATCTAAAAACGTAAATGCTCTGTCACCTTGAACCCTGAATTTCATGTTCTGCAAGACTAGAATCCCAAGC